CCTTGTAATCCTACAAATTCTGGGGTTGGATTAGTTAGGAGATAACTAAAAAAAAAAATTTTGAGCCCAAAAAATAAAAAATAAATTTTTTTGTCAAAAAATTGGGGGGTGGGGGGTCCAGGTCCCCCCCACCTCCGCCCCTGGTTCGGTGTGGTTGACAATGCACCTTCGAAGGCTTATCAACTGTACTGCTTTCATTATATGATGTATGTGAATTGGACCACTCATATTCCAAGTAGTGGATATTCGACCACCGAGTTAAGCGAATTATAGTCTAGCTCATTGAAATTCAACTTACTTTTACACCTTTTATTTTCCAAATCGGCCCTTATCATATATATATCTTAATTTACGCACTTTTGGAAAGCCACTTGTCAATGTTACAATATCTCCAATAGAATTGTAAATTGCATTAAAAAGTGTGTCACGTTATGCAAAAATACTTACATGATAAAGAAAAGGGAAAGTTGATGATGTCTAGCACGACACCCACATGTGGAGGGTGTGTGAGACACCATTCACTTAATTTTTTATAATTTATCTTCAGGTTTCTCTAAATTCTTTCTTTCGTAATGCAATACACAATTGTCTTCTATTTAGTATGAATTAAAATCTAAATTTTAATATGAGTTGAAATAAGTAATTAATCACAATTTTTCAACCATATATTTTATCTAATTTTATTAAAATCAATTAAAAATCTAATTTTAATCCTTCCAAACATATGTGTAATCCACAATCCTAGATATTCTTCTCTCCAACTTCCGCTTTTAACTGTCATGTATACAATAATTAGCCCCCGTTTGATGTTATCATTTTGAGAAAATAGAGTTTGGAACAATATCTGTCCACTTCAGATAAGTCAAGAATATCAGCCCGACATCTGATTTTGACTGCTTATGTCATGCATGAGACTAGATTTATCATCTGCTACGGTCTCAATTGCCAATCAGAGACCCCATTTCTCAGTATAAGACAAAATCATCCAACGTTATACGGAAAGTTATGTCATCTCAAACGTCAAGCTTCATCTTTTATTTTTCTTTCTTCAAAATATTATTACGCTCCGAAGATTAAAATTAGATTTTTTAATTAGTCAATGTTTGAGTCACATTAAAATTTTTATTCTTCGACTCATTTTTAATCATATATTTTTCAATAAAATAATATTTTCCATCACATCAATAACCTTTCTTTCTTTTTCAACCACACATTCTCCATCAATCCACTATTTCAAAATACATTCTTCCAAAATAATGTGGTTCAAACACACCCTAAATTTAATAAAAATTGATAAAATATATTGTTAAAAAATTATAGATCCTATAAAATATGTGGTTAAAATTAACTATTAACTTCGACTTATATTTAATCAAATTTTTTAGTAGTACCAAATATGGGCTATATATAGATAGCATAATTTATTAAGAAATGAATTTACTTTACAAAAAAAAAAAAATACAAATAAATTTAATTACTTTGAAGATTGAGAGTAATTTTTTTTTTTTGAAACTATACATTTAGGCATACTAGTTAACGTTGAACGTGCATTGTACGATTACATGAAATGCTATATAAGTGTTGTAAAAATAATATTTGAATATTTGTGAATGTTAATAAATTTAGAATTAATACCATATAATATATATGTGACAATGAATATTAAATCATTTCTTTAGTTTTCAATTAAGTAAAACTGAATATTAATTAGCATACATGAACATGAATAATGAAATGCGTTGTTGAATATGGAATTCTAATTAATTTATAATTAGAATTAATATAACTGAAATGTATAAATAAAGATGAATATTAATTAAATGAATGTGAATGTTAATTAATTGAGAATTAATAATAGAGAATTCATACATTAATGAAAACACACAAGTGAAATGAATCTGTCAATGTACATGTACATTGATGGTGATTAAATGATTAGATAAATTAAATACATATCGAAAATGCAAAATATGTATTATTGAAATAATTGAATTATAGTAGTTGAAATTGTTTAAAAAATGATTTTCACTCGATACAATATTTAACTCAAATTAAGTATAATTGAATGTTAATTAGCATATATAAACGTGAATAATGAAATACATTTTTGAATGTGAAATTCTAGTTAATTAATAATTACAATTAATAACATTGAAATGTATAAACGAAAATAAATATTAATTAAATGAATGTGAATGTTAATTAATTGAGAATTAATAATAGAGAATTTATACAGTAATGAAAGTACACATGTAAAATGAATATGTCAAATGTACATGTACATTGATAGTAACTAAATGATTAAATAAATTGAATACACATTGAAAAACGAAAAGTAAAATATTATTGAAATAACTGAATTATAATCGTCCAAAAAATGATTTTCATTTGATGTGATATTTACCATAAGACGAATCTAGTTTTGTCCTCTTATTATCCAAGGGTTCACACTTAAGCGAAACGTAAATGCGATAAGTTACTTGAAAATTTTATTTGTAAATAAAGTAGGATTTCTAAATGTCGTGAAAACATTGTACAATAAATTATAATTTTTTTCTATATATCAAACATTTTATTGAATTAAATCACGAAATTTTATAATTATGTTGTTGAAATGTGTAGTCAAGTTAATCTTCGCCCACTCATAATAATGTTCAAATTTTAATTTAAATTCTCAAATATTTTGATCAAAGAAATAATATATATATTTAATTATTTATTTATTTATTTGATTTTCTCATAAGTAATGGTCAATCAGAGTCCAGTTATCATGTAACGAGCCAAATTTCCTAACGTTCTACTATAAATCGTCATCCCATACGTCATGCAATATCTACGTCCTCTTCCTATATATACATCCCAAAGGTTCCCATGGTATCTACTCATTTCTAAAACACAGAATTTTCAACTGTCGTGCCGCATAACATTCTAATCATTATCCCAGACACCAATTTTGCTTGTCTACACAGAAAATGGTTCGCCCTCATGTGATTCTAGTAACTTTCCCGGCACAGGGCCACATCAATCCATCTCTGACGTTTGCCAAGACCCTTCTCAGAAATGGCATTGAAGTCACTTTTGCGACAAGTTTATGCGCCCAGCGGCGGATGGCCAAAGCAGCCGGTGACATCACCAATGGCATTACTTTTGCGGCTTTTTCTGACGGATATGACGATGGGTTCAAACCAAGTGATGATCCAGAGCACTACATGAGGGAGCTTAGAAATCGCGGTTCAGAAACACTAAGGGACACTATTCTAGCCAGTGCCGAGCAAGGCCGCCCAATTACGTGCCTAGTTTACACCCTTCTACTCCCGTGGGCTGCAGCGGTAGCTCGTGAAGTCCACATCCCGAGTGCTCTTCTGTGGATTCAACCAGCCACTGTGTTGGATATATATTACTATTATTTCAATGGCTATGGTGAAGAAATCAATAATTCTTCGGACGACCCGTCGTGGGCAATTCAACTGCCTAGACTTCCATTGCTGGCTAAACGTGATCTTCCATCATTTATGCTTCCTGCGAGTGGAGGCGATCAGTATAAATTTGCTCTTCCGACTTTTAAAGAGCAGCTAGAGACGTTGGATGCAGAAACAAAGCCAAAAGTGCTCGTGAATACTTTCGATGCACTAGAGCCTGATGCACTTAAGGCGATTGAAGATTACGAGTTAATCGGGATTGGACCTTTAATTCCTTCTGCTTTCTTGGATGGAAAAGATCCATTGGATAAGACGGTTGGTGGAGATCTTTTTCATAAATCGGACGATTATCTTCAGTGGTTGAACTCCAAGCCAGAATCTTCCGTGGTTTATGTGTCATTTGGTAGTCTTTTGAGGCTCCCAAAAGTTCAACTAGAGGAGATTGCTAAAGGATTGCTCGAGTGTGGACGACCGTTTTTGTGGGTTATACGTGTAAACGAGAACCAAGAAGAAGAAAAAGAGGATGACAAACTAAGTTGTTTGGATGAATTGGAAAAACTGGGAAAAATAGTACCATGGTGTTCACAACTTGAGGTTCTAACACACCCTTCGTTGGGTTGTTTTGTGACTCATTGTGGTTGGAATTCGACGTTGGAGAGTTTATCAGGCGCTGTTCCTTTGGTGGCATTTCCACAGTGGACTGATCAAGGAACCAATGCAAAGCTTATACAAGATGTTTGGAGGACAGGCCTAAGGGTGAACCCAAGAGAAGATGGCACCGTTGACAGTGACGAGATCAAGAGGTGCATTGAAACAATAATGGACGACGGAGAAAAAAGTCGAGAATTGAGAGAGAATGCTAGGAAATGGAAGAATTCTGCAAGAG